AATCAAAGTTGTGGTCCTTCCTAACTTCTTCTTTCTAGGGAGAGAAAAAATCCCCCATGTCTGACTTTTTCATTAACCCCTGAGTGCCCAAAGTAGAACCTGAAAGAGGCACAGAAGGGCCCCTGGTAGGAAAGGAAACCTCTTCCCCTTTCCACTCAAGGGATGATGAGAAGATTCTGAGACACGCGGAGGCTCTCAGGCCATTGTAGACCTCCCTAAGTATTCCTAACCGGGATGGTCCGAGTCAACTGCCTTCTGGCCTGTTGAATGGTACTGGAAGGCGGCAGCCAAGAGGGTGCTCATGGCGGGTGGTGGATGAGGCTGAAAACTTGAGTTCAGCCTTCTGTCGCTCTTACCTCCACTTTCAACAGTGTGCCCTGGGACTCTGAATGGACTGAGTGTGACTGGTGATGCTGAGAACCAGTACCAGACACTGTACAAGCTGTACGAGAGGTGTGAAGTGGTGATGGGGAACCTCGAGATTGTGCTCACAGGACACAACGCTGACCTCTCCTTCCTGCAGGTGAGAATGCCGACCCCCTTTCTCAATCCGCTCTCTTACTCTTCCTGTGGAAGTATCATTTCCTAGGCTAACCACAGCCTGATGGTTAAGGCCATCCCACATGGCCGACTGTGCGATTTGAGTCCCAGCCTCCGTGGCTTAGAAAACACTGGGTCTGAGTGCATGGGAGCAGGGAGTTCTGAAAGGAGGGGAATGGGAGAGGGGGATTGTGGTGTGACCATTCCCCATGGAGAGCGCTTTCTCCTCTTCCTCTCTTTCTGGTTCTCTGGATCCCACATGCCTTCTTGCAGACTTTTAAAAAAAGAAAAAGAAATTGTCCCTCCCTCGAGGCTACCCTCTGCTGGCATTGGGCATACCTAAGACTTGATAGTTTTTATTTTCTTAAAGCATTATTTTATTTAATGTTATTTATTTATTTATTTTTAATTTAACCAGTGAGAGACAAAAAGTGAGAAAGCAAACTGCCTGGTCCGGGACTTGAACCATGGACAGCCATGTGGGAATCCAGCACCCTTAACCAGTATGCCACTTACCGGCCCTCAATAGTTCTTTTTTTATTTTATTTTATTTTATTTATTTATTCATTTATTTTAATATGACCAGAGAGAGAGAGAGAGGGAAAGTGAGAAAGCAAGCCACCAGGTCCAAGACTTGAACCGTGGTCAGCCATGTGGGAGTGTCCAGTGCCTTAACCACCACACCACCTGCTGATTCCCCTTCAATAGTTCTTAAGACTGAAACCTATGTCTATTTATGGGACCAATGGCTGGAATCTGTACATATGGTCTGGTTGTTGTAGCCTAGGGGTCTCTAGTGGTTGACCAGGAGAAGGGAGCAGGGGCAGTGTCTTCTGTGGTGGTACGAGATAAGCAGGGACTGAGGCAGAGACACCTGAGGACCAAGAAGTTCCTGGGAGGGTAGAAGGGATAAAGCCAGGACCCTCCTGGCAGGGGACTCTCCAAGAAAGGTCTCTATGATTTCTGCTGCCTGTCCTTATTCACAGAAGTGACACAGCAGTGATAGTGATGCAGTCTACTCCCTGCTTCAGAATAGGAGTTAGAAAGAATAAAAAGAGTTAAGGAGTCTTTAATGATTTCAGGAGGGACGGGGTTGAGGTTTTTTGCCCTATTGTCCCTCTCATTGACACAATCTGCTCCCTCACAGTGGATCCGAGAAGTGACAGGCTATGTTCTCGTGGCCATGAATGAGTTCTCGACACTACCCTTGCCCAACCTCCGGGTGGTACGGGGGACCCAGGTCTACGACGGGAAGTTTGCCATCTTTGTCATGTTGAACTATAACACTAACTCCAGCCATGCCCTGCGCCAGCTCCGCTTCACTCAGCTCACCGGTCAGTTCCTCATGATTCCTTCTGGTCTTGCCCTCAGCCAGCCTGCTGACAGGCACTCCTGAATGATGACCCAAGACTGTCTGTTCTTTAAAGGCCCCTTCTGAGCTGCCCACCACTTTGACCACTGTGGCCTAAAAGTCCACCACAGTAGGGAGCTGGGGGTGTCTATACCAGGACAGGGGGTCCTTGGTCTTTGTGTCTTGCCGGGGTTGTTACCTGTTCTAACTTTAGAGTCCAGTACCCTGAGGTCCCATCCTCCCTGGGAATCCTGCCATTACTCCCTCCCCAAGCTGGAGGAACATAGGGGTTAAATATCACCTGGCTACTTTCTTCTTTTCCCTGTCCCAGTCAGTTGGAAAACACACAGGTAGGCCTGAGGGGGAGGGGGCCTTGAGTCAGGGATCTTCTCTTCTCCTTTCTCTTCCCCTCCCCCACTGACCAAACCGGATCTGGACAGGTGTCTGAGGAGGCAGGAGTTTCTTTGGGCCTGACTCCTCCTCTCGTAAGGCTCGCCTTCTCCACAGCTTCGAGTTCACTGGACTCATCCTCCCGCTCCATTCCCCTTGTGTGTCTCGTGTGTCCTGTTCAACTGGTGGGGAGGTAGGGAAGCCCAGGTCTGCTGCAGCCCTCAACCCTGCCACTTCTCTTCCCTGCCTCAGAGATTCTGTCAGGGGGCGTTTATATCGAGAAGAATGATAAGCTCTGTCACATGGACACGATCGACTGGAAGGACATCGTGAGGGATCGAGAGGCTGAGATAGTGGTGAAGGACAACGGCAGAAGTTGTGAGTGGCTGTGATTAAGGCTGCTGCCCCTGCCCCACCAAACCAGGGGGATTCTGTCCCTAATCTGAACCCACCTCTGCACCAAACAAGCCCCTGCACCCCCGCCCCAGACCCTAGCCCAAGAGCCTGTCAGGAGGGACCCAGTCAGTCCCCCAGAATCCAGACCACAGTACCAGTATATCAGGAAAAAGCAGAGAAGTCTGGGTGCTGAGAGTGAAGGCCAGATCTCTGGAGTCTGCACCCATCGGTCTTTTCTCTATTACAAGGTATTCCCTTCTCCTGGAACCACAGTCTACTGCTGCTGGTGCACTCACACGTTTTCCTGCTGGGTTCAGTGTGCCAGGGAGGAGCTGAGTTCCCGGGTTAAGGCTGGGGCTGAGGCTGGCATCTGCCCCAGTCCCTCCCCTTCAGCTGCCCAGTGGGTAGTATGGAGGCGGGGCTCCACCCCCTGTTGACAGGTTCACTTGAGCCCAGCCCTGCTCTCCAAGGGCAGGGAGGGACACTGCTCTGGCACTGGCTTCCTGATTGAGGCGCCTGTGTGTTGACATCATACCCTGTTGATGCAAGCAAGCCTTTCTTAGCCCTGATGGCCCCTGTGTTGCCTTCCTTTCCAACCAGGTCCCCCCTGTCATGAGGCCTGCAAGGGGCGTTGCTGGGGTCCTGGACCAGAAGACTGCCAAACATGTGGGTTTGAATTTCTTTCTAAAAATGTCAACCTCACACTTTTCTTTTCTGTTACATATTTTTGCCATAGGGAACGTGCTCTCACAGGAGAGAGACAGACAGAGAGAGAAGGAGAGAGGGAAAGTGGGAAATTAACCTCCACGTGTTACCCCCAATCCCATCTCTTCCATTCTCCTCTTAGATTTTGGGCACACATGTACATGTGCCCAGCCCAGTGTGATTTTTAAGCCACTGGGTCCAGGACTCGAATTGAAGCCAGCCACATGGGAGTCCACTATACCACCTGCTGGTTCCCAAACTTACACACTTTTATATCGCTGCCTACTCAAGACTGTGGCAATACTGGGGGTAGGGATGAACAGTGGCCTCTGAATTTAGTCTCAGTCATTCTTTCTCTCATTCCACAGTGACCAAGACCATCTGTGCCCCTCAATGTAATGGTCACTGCTTTGGACCCAACCCCAACCAGTGCTGCCATGACGAGTGTGCAGGGGGATGCTCCGGCCCTCAGGACACCGACTGCTTTGTATGCACCCTCACCGTTTGCCTGGGTTCTGAATGGGGATGTGGGCTCTGGGGAGGAGGTGGGGGTACATGTATAGCGTGAGTTTTATGAGTCTCTGGTGTTCCCAGGCCTGCCGACACTTCAATGACAGTGGAGCCTGTGTACCTCGGTGTCCACAGCCTCTTGTCTACAACAAGCTCACTTTCCAGCTGGAACCCAATCCCCACACCAAGTATCAGTATGGAGGAGTTTGTGTAGCCAGCTGTCCCCGTGAGTGTGAGAGGAAATAACAATGGGAGTGGATTCAGGATTTTAGACAAAGTTCTGGGAGACAAAAGGATCAAGTTGAGAACCCACAAGGCAAATGGTTGTGATCATCTAACCACCCCCAATGAGTGGCCCTGCATACTGTCCCTCTTTCTTAAATTATTTTTTTTTTGGGGGGGGAGGGGGCGGGAGAGGTTTTTGCTATAGGGCGTGTGTGCTTGCCAGAAAGACAGAGAGAGACACAGAGACAGAAAGCGAGAAATCACCCCCCAGGGGACATGGCTATGCCGCAATCCCTTCTCCTCCATTCTCTCGGGATCTTGGGCACGCATGCACGTGTACCTGGCATGAGTTTAAGCCACTGGGTCTGGGACTCGAACCGTAGTTGACTACATGGGAGTTCAGCAACATAGCCATTACGCCAACTGCTTGTCCCTTTTAAATAATTTTTTAATTTTAATTTTGTTTATTCATTAATTTGTTTTAATTTGACCAGAGAGGACACAGAGAGAGAGAAAGGAAACGTCAGATAGCAAGCTATCAAGTCTGGTACTTGAACCGCAGTCAGTCATGTGGGAGTATCCAGTGCCTTAACCATCATGCCACCTGCTGATCCCTGTTCTGTCCCTCTTTCTTTGCTTTTTTTTTTTTTTTTTAAGTGAGATTTTTGCTATAGTGTGTGTGCACTCGCTGGAGAGAGAGAGAGAGATAGAAAGCAGGAAATCACACACCCCCCCCGCGGGGGGCGGGGGGGATGGCCATGCTATAGTCCCTTCTCCATTCTTCTCTTGGGATTTTGGGCACGCATGTACATGTACCCAGTGTGAGTTTCAATCCGCTGGGTCCAAGACTCAAACCATGGTTGACCATGTGGGAGTCCAGCGACGGAACCGTTACATCATCGGCTGGTCCCTATTTTGTCCCCCTTGCTGCTTCCTCATGTCCTCCAGGTCTTTCCCCTGGTTCTGATTGTTAGAGCAACAACGAGCAAAGGGACTTTCTAATCTATAGGACAGCCCGTGAGGGATCCAGAGTAGCAGATGGGGTGCAGAGTGGAGGAAGCAAGGTCCTAGCAGAGGGGTTCACTTGGTACTTGGGCAATCACCTCCCTCACCTCTGATGGTGCCTCTTCTTCCCTAGATAACTTTGTGGTAGATCAGACCTCCTGTGTCAGGGCCTGTCCTCCTGACAAGATGGAAGTGGATAAAAATGGGCTCAAGATGTGTGAGCCTTGTGGAGGGCTGTGCCCTAAAGGTGAGTAGGAGATAAGTTGTGAAGAGACCCCTCCTGAAGTGACTCAGGCCACCCCACTGAGCCTCTCTTATGTTTGCAGCCTGTGAGGGAACGGGCTCTGGGAGCCGCTTCCAGACTGTGGATTCAAGCAACATAGATGGATTTGTGAACTGCACCAAGATCCTGGGCAACCTGGACTTCCTTATCACCGGGCTCAATGGGTTAGAGATTCTGCCTTCCCTTCCCAACTGTCCCCTGCCCTAGCTCATTTCACTATCCTAAACCTTCCTATGTGGAGCCATCTAGGCATCTAAGTCATGAAATCTGAGTGGTTGCAAAGGACTTGAGAGAGTGCTTGAGGAAACCTCCCATCCAAGGCTTCAGTTCCCTCAGGGACAGCCTTATGTCACCCCATAGTACCTGCTGAGTGACAAAGGAAAGGGACTGACAAGGGACAGGGATGGTGTTTCCTCCTTAAAGTTTTTTAAAAGTTCTCCCTTAAATTTAGATAAAAATCTGCCTCCTCGTGACTTCTAGCTCTTTCCCCTTGTTCTGCTTCTTGGAGCAACAAAGAACAAAGGGACTTTCTAGTCCATAGGACAGCACTTCCAGTGTGCATGTGGAGACTGAGTGTGTGTCTGTACTTGTGAGAAACTACAACCACTGGGTTTTTTTTTTCTTTTCCTTTTTTATTTTGGAATAATTTTAGATCTACGCTGTAGTTCCAAGAATGGTATAAAGATTTCCCGCATACTCTTTACTTAGAGTCATACCACATATATTCTATCATTTCTCCCTCTCAATACACATGAACACACACAATTGTGTTCTGAACCACTGGAGGGTAAGTCTCTAGACCTAATGTTCCCTTAACCCTGTCATATCTCAGTGGTGCGCTTTTCTTTTCTTTTCTTTTTTTTTAACTATAAGAACATTTTCTGGGGGCCAGCAGGTGGTGTGGTGGTTGGGACACTGGACTCCCACATGACTGACTATGGTTCAAGTCCTGGACCTGACAACTTGTTTTCTCATTTTTCTTCTCTCTGTCTCTGGTAAGCATGTGTGCCCTTAAGCAAATGTAAAAAAATAATAATGATAAATAATAAAATATGTAGATCTTTTGAAATTTTTAAAAATTATTTTATTTAGAATAATTTTTATTTAACTTTATTTATTTATTTATTTTAATTTGACCAGAGAGGGACAGAATGAGAGAGAGAGAAAGAGAGAGCAAGCCGCCAAGTCCGAGACTTGAACCACGGTTGGCCATGTGGGAGTCTAGAGCCTTTAACCACCATGCCACCTGCTAGCCCCTAAAATATTTTAAAAATAAATAAAAATAAAACATTTTATGGACCAGTAGGTGACACGAGCGTTAAGATAGCTGGATCCCATGGGGCCAACTGTATGATTTGAATCTTTGACATCACAGCTTTAAAAACATGTGAGGGACCAGCAAGCAGTGTGGAGGTTAAAGCGCTAGATCCCATAGGATCTAGCAAGTGTGCGGTTTGAGTCCCAGACTCAGCAGCTTGAAAACCATGCCAAGTGTGTATGCATACATGCACTAAACTCCAAAAAGAGACTGGAGAAGGAGGGATTGCAGCATGACCATCCTCCTTGGGGGGTGATTTCTCACGTTCCCCCTTTGTCTCTCTCTCTCTCTTTCTCTGGCAAAGTACAGATGCCCTCTAGCAAACTGGAAAGAAAAAGATAAACATTCTCTTATGCAATACAATTGTTTGAACCAGGAAATTAACATTGATGGAAAATGTTATCTAGTCTATAGTCCTTACTCAGATTTCATGAATTGCCCCACTATTGCCGTGGAACACATATTATCTTCAGTTATGCCTCTTTAGTATCTTTTAATAACATGCCTTTTACTATCTTTTAATCTATACTTCTTTTTTTAAAGTTTTTGTTATAGGGTGCATGTGCTCACTGGAGAGAGATAAAAGACAGAGGGTCCAGCAGTTGGCATAATGGCTATGTCGCTGGACTCCCATGTAGTTGACCACGGTTCGAATCTTGGACCCGGTGGCTTAAACTCAACAGGCACATGTGCGTGAGTGCCCAGGATCCCGCGAGGAAAATGAAGAAGGAACTGTGGTGTGGCCATCCTCCCTGGAGGGTGATGTCTCATTTTCTGTCTCTGTCTTTCTAGCGAGCACACACGCCCTATAGCAAAAACAAACAAACAAAAAAACACACCTCTCAAAAAAAAAAGAGAGAGAAATCATCCACCCTCCAGAGGGTGTCATGCTGCAGTCCTCCTTCATTCTCCTCTTGGGATTTTGGGCACATACCCCGAATGATTTTCAAGCTGCCAGGTTGGAACTCGAACTATGTGGGATCCAGGCACCTTAACTTCCATGCCACCTGCTGGCCCAAGTTAGGCTTTTTTTTTTTTTTTTTTTTTCTTTTGAGTGGTTTTTGTTATAGAGTGTGTGCACTTACCAGAAAGACAGGAGAGACAGAAAGACAGAAAGCAAGAAATCACCCCCCAGGGGGGATGGCCACACCGCAATCCCTTCTTCTCCATTCTCCTCTTAGGATCTTGGGCATGCACACACATGTGCCCGGCGTGATTTTAAGCCACTGGGTCCAGGACTGGAAATGCAGTTGACTACATGGGAGTCCTGCAACGTAGCCATTACTCCGGCTGCTGGCCCCAGATGGGACATTTTAAAGGGACCTGGACCTAGTGGCTTAAACTCACACTGGGTGCGTGTGCGTGCATGCCCAGGATCCCGATAGGATGATGGAGGAGAAGGGATTGCTGTGTGGCCGTCCCCCTGGGGGTGATTTCTCACTTTCTATCTTTCTGTCTCTCTCTGTCTTTCTGGTGAACACACGCGTCCTATAGCAAAAATCTTTCCAAAAAAAAAAAAAAGAGTTATTGTTTAACTTTATTTATTTATTTATTTTTTGCTTTGACCAGAGAGGGACAGAGTAAGACACAAAGGAAAGGGAAAGTGAAAAAGCAAGCTGCCAAGACTGGAACTTAAACCATGTTTGGCCATGTGGTAGTCCAGCGCCCCTAGCCACCATGCCACCTGCCAACCCCTAGGCATTTTTTTATAGAAATACCACAGATGTTGGAGCTGACAGGTGGCATGGTAGTGAAAGTATTGGACTCCCACATGGCTCACTGTGGTTTTGGTCTCAGACCTGGTGGCTTGCTTTCTCACTCTCCCTCTCTCTCTTTTTCTGGTTGAACTGAAGAAGAATAATAAGTGAATAAAATTAAAATAAATAATTCTTTTTTAAAAAGAAAAGGAATACCACAGATGTGTTCTCAATGCTCACAGTATTTGTTCAATCACCAGTCATGGTATCTCTGGTCACTTAGTTAAGGCAGTATCTGCTAAGTTTTTCTATTATAAAGTTACTGTTTTTCCCTTTGCAACTAGTAAGCACCTCAGGACATAGCTGCCTGGATAAATTGTTATGACAGTTGACAAATGATGATTTTTTTTTATTTCTATTTTATTTATGTATTCCATGAAAAAAAGAGGAAGCAAGAGAAAGAATAGAGATAAGAAACTCCCACCAAGGTCTTGGCACAGTGACCCTCCCACAGTATCAGCTGGCCCAGATCGCAGACATGCACGTGTGTGCTGCGTGCGCTCAGGGAGGTTTCAGATGTGAACCCAGGACCTTTCTCATGTGGGTCCAGATATGTTATTGCTGCCAAACTGCCTGGCCCCCAATGATGGTTTTCTTTTTCTTTCTTTTTTTAAAAATGTTTACTTATTTAAATTTATTTGTTATTCATTTATTTTAATTTGACCAGAGAGAGCAAGAGAGGGAAAGCCTGAAAGGAATATGCCAAATCTGGGACTCGAACTGTGGTCGGCTATGTGGGAGTGTCCAGCGCCTTAATCCCCATGCCACCTGCTGGCCCCATGGTTTTCTTTTTTTTTTTCTTTTATTTATTTATTTTTACATTTTTCCACAAACATTTACTTTACATAGCAAAAATTTTTAGCTCATAATCCATAATTCTTTTTTTTTTTTTTTGAGAGGTTTTCGCTATAGGGCGCGTGCGCTCGCCAGACAGAGAGAGACATAGAGACAGAAAGCGAGAAATCACCCCCCAGGGGGGATGGTCACGCCGCAATCCCTTCTCCTCCATTCTCCTCTCGGGATCTTGGGCACGCACGCACACGCGCCCGGCGTGAGATTTAAGCCACCGGGTCCGAGACGCGAACCGCGATCGACTACGTGGGAGTCCAGCGACATAGCCATTACGCTAACTGCTGGTTCCCTTAATCCATTCTTCTTGACAGTTTACAAACAACTTTCAAAATTTCAAAATACTGAATTTTAAAGATAATGTTCAAAATATGTCTTATAAGTTTGTATCCCATGGTTTTCTAATTACATGATTCTGTCTGCATTTATTTGTTGGCATCTTAGTATTAGGAAACATCTTCTCTTCCTGTTTATTTAATTTATATGGATATTTTTGTCATTTAGTTATTTTTATTTATTTCATGAGTGAGAGGAAAAGAGAGAGAGAGACAAGCGTCCCTAACAGGGCCTTCCTGCCATGACCCACCTGTAGTATCAGTTGGCGTGCCCAGGGAGGTCCCAGGAGGTCATCCCGGACCTTTCCTGTAGGTCTAGTTGCAGTACCACTGTGCTAGTACCAGATCCCTGGATTTTTTTTTTTAAGATACTTTATTTAAATTTATTTATTTATTTATTTATTTATTTATTTATTTATTTATTCAGTTTGATCAGACAGAGAAAGAGAGAGGGTAAGTGAGAAAGCAAGCCACCAGGTTCAGGACTTGAACTATGGTTGGCCATGTGGGAGTCCAACACCTTTAACTACCATGCCACCTGCTGGCCCGGATCTTTTTTATTAAAGGATACTTTTCTGTTGTTCTTATGATAGAGAGTGTAAGTGTGTACACTAGAAGAGGGTACAGAGAGATGAAAAGGAGTACACACTGCAGGGTCTAATCATGCCATGGTTCCCTTTCCCCAGCCATCCAGGCTGTCAGGATCTTGGGCAGCATGTTTTCAGGCCCATCTGGATATCTGAACCTCCTAAATGGCTCACTGCAGTTCATTTTGCTACCATCTGCACCACCAGACTGGGCCTAGATATTTATCAGTGGCTTATAATCCTTAATAATTTATTTTAGTGTTCAGTTGTCCCTGATTTGGCCATTAAGAGTATCTTCAAGCTACCTCCTGTGTTTGTTAGACCTTTCCCTTTCATTCTTTGAGTACTTTCTTATTTTTCTACACAAGATGCTCTTGTTACATGTCCCCTGCTCCAACATTTCTCTAAGGAGTCCTGTTTTCTTCAGGGGAGAATGGTATTTAGAAACCAAATTCTGAGACCAGCTGTGCTCATTGCTACTGGGTTAGGTCTCTAACATATTGACCAATTTTTACTGTTCTCCACAGAGACCCGTGGCATAAAATCCCTGCCCTGGACCCTGAGAAACTCAATGTCTTCCGCACAGTACGAGAGATCACAGGTAATAGAAGAGGCTGCTTTTCCTAAGAATAGATAAATCACTTGCTTAAATTGCAGTCTAACCATCTGAGAAATTTGTAGCCCAGGCAATGGGAGGGGACAGGAAAACCTGAGAAAGAGGAAGGGGAGAAGGATCCACACTCACGTGCTTCTCTCCAATCCCTTAGGTTATCTGAATATCCAATCCTGGCCTCCCCACATGCACAACTTTAGTGTTTTTTCCAACCTGACAACCATTGGGGGCAGAAGCCTCTACAAGTGAGTAGAGGGGCTTGGAATGGGGAGGTGATCGTATGCCCAGACAATGAACCCTGTTTCCTAGGCATCCTTGGGTGAAATAAAATATGGCTGACCTAAAGGGTTGACAGTTTGATGGAAAAGGCAAAAGGAAGGGAGGATTCTCTCTTGGTGGGCATGACTAACCCAGAGCAAATGTGTTGAATAAAAATGAATCCATTGCACAGTTAACTTCCCTTTGGAGTTTCCTTTCTCATCCTGTCCTCCTTATTCTCAGCCGGGGCTTCTCATTGTTGATCATGAAGAACCTGAATGTGACATCTCTGGGCCTCCGATCCCTGAAGGAAATTAGTGCTGGGCGTATCTACATAAGTGCCAATCGACAACTCTGCTACCATCATTCTCTGAACTGGACCAGGCTGCTTCGGGGGCCTTCAGAAGAGAGACTAGACATCAAGCATAATCGGCCCCGCAGAGAATGCAGTGAGAGAAAGGGCTCAGTGGGTGGTGAACACAAGGAGTTAGGGAAGAGAGGGGTGTAAAGACAACCCTACTCCCAATGTCCTGGAAGGGGAAAGAGGATTGGGGAATGGAGCCAAGGAGCAGGGGAGTGGTCAACTGGAAGCAATAATGAGGAAGCGTTGAGGAGAGGGCTTGTTGGGAGACCTCAGACTGCCTTCCTAATGCACTCTTTCTTTTCCAGTGGCAGAGGGCAAAGTGTGTGACCCACTGTGCTCTTCTGGGGGATGCTGGGGTCCAGGCCCTGGTCAGTGTTTATCCTGTCGGAACTACAGCCGAGGAGGTGTCTGTGTGACCCACTGCAACTTTCTAAATGGGTACGGTGAGACAGTCAAGAAGGGGTGGGGTAGGAGTGGGGCCCTGAGCTGTTCAGGTGCACCTGAAAGCCTTTAGAAGACTTTCTGCATGTACCTTGGTGGGAAAGAGGTGGGAGACCTGTGGTTGTGGGATCAGGACTTAAGCTGGGACTTGGAAATGACCCACCTCCCTTTATTCCCCACTGCAGGGAGCCTCGGGAGTTTGCTCTCGAGGCTGAATGCTTCTCTTGTCATCCAGAGTGCCAACCCATGGAAGGCTCTGCCACATGCAATGGCTCGGTATAGTAACAGCACTGGTATTTCTAAGGAGACAGGGGAGGGGCGTCTGGGGAATGATATGGCCAAATCTCAGGGCCAGCACAGGGAGGCCAGGTAATGTGAGGGTTTGTGGATAGAGGGTCCTAAGTGATTGGGGTAGTCCTTCCTGGGAGCTATGGACTTGATCTCGGGATCCTGTTCTTCCTGACCATCTCTCTTCCACCCAGGGCTCTGATGCTTGTGCCAAGTGTGCCCATTTTCGAGATGGGCCCCACTGTGTGAGCAGCTGTCCCCATGGAGTCCTAGGTGCCAAGGGCCCCATCTACAAGTACTCAGATGTTCAGAATGAATGTCGGCCCTGCCATGAGAACTGCACCCAGGGGTCTGTGATGGGATAAGTAGAGGAGGTCGGGGGGAGGTCAGGAGTATGGGACAAGGTTGAGTGGAACAGAAAGAAGAAAGGACTGGGATTTTATTTTTTAAGAACTATTTTGTTTAACTTTATTTATTTTAATTTGACCCGATGGGGACAGAGTAAGAGAGAGAGAGGGAAAGTGAGAAAGCAAGCTGCCAGGTCCAGGACTCGAACCACAGTCAGCCATGTGGGAGCCCAGTGCTCTCAACCACTATTCCACCCGCTGGCCCTGGGATTGGGATTTAACAACCACTCCCAGCTGTGTAGTCAATGCGTAGAGGAAGAGAAACTCAATAACAGCACAAAATTACACCATAGTGTTGCAGATGTGGACTAATCTCAACTCGGGGAATGCCATTCAAGAGGGCCTCAGGGAGGTCTGGCGAGTTGGATGTAGGAGCCATATCTTAGGATAGCTTTTTGGCTCCGGGATGCCATGATAGACTCAGAAACCAGCTGTAGTTTGTTAGGACAGTTGTTAAAACCACAGTTCTGTATGTTGCTGTTGGAATTGTTTGTCCAAGCTCATTTAAAGGAGTGGCTTTCTTCTCTAGGTGTAAGGGGCCAGAGCTCCAAGACTGTCTAGGCCAACCACCAGTGCTGAGCAGGTATGATGGGCGTAAAATTCCAGAGCTGGGGCTATTTGGGAGACAAGCTAGGAAAGGATGATAACCCGTGAGGAAGAGTCAAGTCTCTATTCGTCTCAGCCTCTTATATTCACTGTCCACTATCACTAGGCTTGGGACATGAGAATCAGGCTTCTAGCCTGCCTTTCCTAAAATCAACTTGCTGAAGCTTAAGAGGAGGTCCAGATTTAGGTTAACCCCTTCAGCACTGAAGGCTATATGTACCCACATCTCCACCATACCCTCAGCATTGGTGTAGATGACTTTTGTAAAAGGGATGTAAACTCAGGATAATGCTGGGCTTCTCTATATCCCTTAGCAAAACCCATCCGGCAATGGCTTTGACAGTGGTGGTAGGATTGGTGGTGATTTTCCTGATCCTGGGCGGCACTTTTCTCTATTGGCGTGGGCGTCGGATTCAGAATAAAAGGGCAATGAGACGCTACTTGGAACGGGGTGAGGTAAGTACTTAATTTTGAGAGGTTCCCTGTACCATTTGTACCCAGGGGTCAGTGATGGGATGAACATCACTCCCCTCCTCTTCCCCCAGAGACCTGGCCCCTTTCTTTGAGGAGAGAGTGTGGTCCACTAGGGAAATAGGGCATGCATTGTAGTCCCTACTGGGCCTCTAAATTGCCACGGCTTTGAAGGAGTCACTCTTCCTCTCTGTACCTCTGTTTACATACCTGTACAGAGGAAATAACATTCATCCTTCCAGAATTGGCTGTGAGGGTGGAAGAGGGAGATGTTTGAACATCTTGAAAAGTATAGAGCACCATATAAAGGGTACTCAAGGTGACAGTACTACCAGCCTGCCACCCTCAGTGCTCTCCCATCAAACCTCTTGATCCCTGGGAACCAGCAGTTAGCGTAATGGCTATGTCACTGGACTCCCACGTAGTCGGCCGCGGTTCCCATCCCGGACCCGATGGCTTAAAACTCAAGCCGGACGCGTGTGCATGCGTGCCCAAGATCCCGAGAGGAGAATGGAGAAGGGATTGCGGCATGACCATCCCCCCTGGGGGGTGATTTCTCGCTTTCTGTCTCTATGTTTCTCTGTCTGGCGAGCGCACGCGCCCTATAGCAAAAAAACCTCTCAAAAAAAATAAATAAATAAATAAAAAATAAAAAACCTCTTGATCCCTGATCTCATGAGCATAAACAAATCCTCGATCCTGTGTCTCTGTTGTTTCTCAACATGCCTACAATGCTTTCCAGACTAAAGGCAAATCCTCTTCTTGCCCCCACCCCTTTGGACTCTGCTGCTCTGTGTATCCATTTGTGGGGAATGGGTTGGAGTAGAACATGGAGCCAGCTCTCCTGAGTACCTTCTTCTCATCTGCTTCTCAGAGCATAGAGCCTCTGGATCCCAGTGAGAAGGCTAACAAAGTCTTGGCCAGGATCTTCAAAGAGACAGAGCTGAGGAAGCTTAAAGTGCTTGGTTCAGGTGTCTTTGGAACTGTGCATAAAGTGAGTGACCCACAGGAAGCCTGGAGTGGTGGTGGGGGGAAGGATCCAGGGAAAAAGGGAGAAAGATTATGCAAATAACTGACCTAGGGAGAAAGATTCTAGGCTGACTCCTGCCCTAATCTTCCCAGGGAGTGTGGATCCCTGAGGGGGAATCGATCAAGATTCCAGTCTGCATTAAAGTCATTGAGGACAAGAGTGGACGGCAGAGTTTTCAAGCTGTGACAGATGTAAGTGAAGGAGGGGATTCTGTAAGCCTCTAGGAGAGAGGACAAGATCAGATACCACCAGGCAGAAGCGCAGTCCTGTGTTAGCCGTGTAGATGTACTTGACTGTTGGAAGTGCCCTGGTCTAGGTGTGTGCATGTTGAGTGTGTATGAATCTGCTTGTCCCTTAGATAATACCTCTTGTGTCTCTTAGCATATGCTGGCCATTGGCAGCCTAGACCACGCTCACATTGTACGGCTGCTTGGACTGTGCCCAGGGTCATCCCTGCAGCTTGTTACTCAGTACTTGCCGTTGGGTTCCCTACTGGATCACGTGAGACAACATCGAGGGGCACTAGGGCCACAGCTGCTGCTCAACTGGGGAGTACAGATTGCCAAGGTGAGAGAAGCCTGAAGAAGTTCTATAACTGCCCATCTGAAGGTGGGTAGGGAAGCGGTGGGAAGGCTAAAGTTTTGAAGTTCTGGAAGGTGCCTTCGAGGGTCTGGGGAATTCCAGATCTCAACAAGTGATTCCCCCAATTCTGAGAATACTTCCTCCCCCTCTAGGGCATGTACTACCTAGAAGAACATGGTATGGTGCATAGGAACTTGGCTGCCCGGAATGTGCTACTCAAGTCACCCAGTCAGGTTCAGGTGGCAGATTTCGGTGTGGCCGACCTGCTGCCACCTGATGATAAGCAGCTACTACACAGTGAAGCCAAGGTGAGGTGACACAAGGGTCTGGGTAAGGAGGTGGGTGAGAGTGGTGATAGGGAACAGTTGGTGGTCTCTATCAGCAGCAAGCAGAGGCTTCTTGGTAAGTTTAAAGAGAGGGAGCAACAAGGAAATGAGTGGTAGAAAACTTGGAGTTTGGAAATGCTAAGAAAATGTATGTAAATCAACTAGTGACACCTGTATCTTTAATCCTCAGACCCCAATTAAGTGGATGGCACTAGAGAGTATCCACTTTGGGAAATACACACACCAGAGTGACGTCTGGAGCTACGGTCAGTACATCTGGATGCCCTTATTACTATCTCTGCCCCAAATTCCACAGCTGCCGAACAAATCCCCCTCTTAGTCTCTAAGCCTTTCAAATCTATCTTTGATCAATTTCTGCCTTTTCTTTACTTGATGCTCATGGCTACTACTCTCCTATCAACTCGTCCAATTCTTCTTACACCAGGTGTGACTGTCTGGGAGTTGATGACCTTCGGGGCAGAGCCCTACGCAGGACTTCGACTGGCTGAAGTACCAGACCTGTTAGAGAAGGGGGAGCGGTTGGCACAGCCCCAGATCTGCACCATTGATGTCTACATGGTCATGGTCAAATGTGAGTTGCCTGCTGATCTCAGCCATTTTTCTTTCTTTCAATTGACAGAGGGCTCATGCACTCGCGGGACGGAGAGGGAGAAAGCAACCTGATGGGATGTGTCATAGACCAATCCCCTCTCCCGTCTCCTGTCTCCTTCATTTCTCCAACCTTTTGGGATTTGGGGCACACACGGGCACACATCCAGCACGTTTTTCAAGTGGATGGAGTCAAGATTTGAACCTCTGTCAGCTGCACAGTATCTGGCTCCCTTAACTGCCAGGATATGGGGGCCAGGCCCCAGCCATTTTCTGACTTCTCCCCTTACTCCTCTATGGCTCTATTCCCTCTTATGGCTCTGCCTCCTTCACCTGACCCGCAGGTTGGATGATTGATGAGAACATTCGTCCTACCTTTAAAGAACTAGCCAATGAGTTCACTAGGATGGCCCGTGACCCACCACGCTATCTAGTCATAAAGGTGAGTAGGGACTAGATGTAAAGGGAATTTAGAGAAAAGGGGAGTTGCCTGGAATCAGGGTCTACCTTAACAATCACCTTCCTGTACAGAGAGAGAGTGGGCCTGGAATACCCCCCGGGGCAGAGTCACCTGCTCTGACAAACAAGGAACTGGATGAAGTAGACCTGGAGCCAGACCTAGACCTAGATCTAGACTTGGAGGCAGAGGAGGACAACCTGGCAACCACACTGGGCTCTGCCCTTGGCCTACCAGTTGGAACACTTACTCGGTCACGTGGGGTAAGACCTCATTACTCAAGGCCCTATACTTTAGAGCCCTCATGTATCCCACTGATACCCAGGATAATTACTCAAAGGATCCCATGTTAAGAGTAGATTTTTGGGGCCAGCAGGTGGCGTGGTGGTTAGGGGGGCTGGATTCTAGCTGACCACGGTTCGAGTCCCAGACCTGGTGGCTTGCTTTCTTGCTTTCCTACCCTCTCTCTTCCTCTGGTCAAATTAAATTAGTTAATTAATTTAATTTAATAATTCCTTTTTAACAGAAAGAGTAGATTACTCCTTTCATTTTATCTTTTTCTACTTTTGTTATCCTAGAGCCAGAGCCTTTTAAGTCCGTCATCTGGATACATGCCCATGAACCAGGGTAATCTTGGGGAGGTTTGCCAGGTAAGTTCTGCTGCTGAGAAGCTGGGTAACAGAGGGTCTTAGGATTAGATCGATGGGGCTAACGTGGGAGGCATTAGAAACCTTTAAAGTTTTATCAGTATCTTGCAAAAAAGGCGGCACTGAACAACCCAATCTCCTTCTAAACAAGTGCCTCTTTCCTGTTTCTGTACACATCTGCTTGTATTATTTTGTTTCTTTCCCCCTCAGGAGTCTACAGCTTGTGGGGGTAGTGAACGGTGCTCCCGTCCAGTCTCTCTGCACCCAGTACCACGGGGACGCCTGATATCCGAGTCATCTGAGGGCCACGTGACTGGCTCTGAGGCTGAGCTCCAGGAGAAGGTGTCCATGTGTAGAAGCCGGAGCCGGAGCCGGAGCCCACGGCCACGTGGAGATAGTGCCTACCATTCCCAGCGCCACAGCCTGCTTACTCCTGTCACCCCACTCTCTCCACCAGGGTTAGAGGAAGAGGATGTCAATGGTTATGTCATGCCAGATAGACACCTCAAAGGTGCTTGACTTTTAGAGCTTTCCTGGAATCTTCCTGTAATTCTTTCTCTAGGCTCCTCTTAATTCTTTTGCTTTCTCTGATCATAACCGTCCCTAGTCATTGTTTTTTCCAAATAATTACTTATTTAATTTTTATTTATTCATTCATTTATTTTAATTTGACCAGAGAGAGAGAGAGAGGGAAAGTGTGAAAGCAAGCCACCAGGTCCAGGACTTGAACCATGGTCGGCCATGTGGGAGTGTCCAGCACCTTAACCACCATGCCACCTGCTGATCCCCCACCTTATTCATTTTTTTTTCTAACTTTTCCCACCCCTTACTGCCTACCACTATGAAGTTCTCTACTTACTAATCCTCTCTTCTCAACCCCTAGGTATTCCCTCCTCCCGAGAAGGCACCCTTTCTTCAGTGGGACTCAGTTCTGTGCTGGGTACTGAAGAAGAAGATGAAGATGAGGAGTATGAATACATGAACCGGAGGAGAAGGCGCAGTCCTCCCCGGCCCCCTAGGCCAAGTTCCCTCGAGGAGCTGGGTTATGAGTACATGGATGTGGGATCAGATCTCAGTGCCTCTCTGGGCAGCACACAAAGTTGCCCACTCCAGCCTGTGCCCGTCATGCCTAATGCTGGCACAACTCCCGATGAGGACTATGAATATATGAATCGGCGACGTGGTGAAGGTGGTCCTGGGGGGGATTATGCAGCCATGGGGGCCTGCCCAGCAGCTGAGCAAGGATATGAAGAGATGAGAGCTTTCCAGGGGCCTGGACACCATGCCCCCCATATCCATTACACCCGCCTCAAAACTCTACGTAGCCTAGAAGCTACTGACTCGGCCTTTGATAACCCTGACTACTGGCATAGCAGGCTTTTCCCCAAGGCTAATGGCCAGAGAACATAACCCCTGCTTCCTGAGGCACTCAGGGAGCATGTGATGGCAGCTAGTGCCTCTAAAGGGTACCTCTCTTCTCCTTACTCCCTCTCCCTCACGGTCTCAGCCCTGTTTCCCCAGTCCCAGACAATTCCATTCAACCTTTGGAGGCTCTTAAACACTGACACAAAATTCTTGTGGTATGTAGCCAGCTGTGCACTTTTTCTCTTTCCCAACCCCAGGAAAGGAGATTTCCCCTATTTTGTGTGTTTGCCTAGTCCCATTCCTCAGCTTCCTCAGGGAGACTCCCTGGAGATATGAAGGATCACTTCCCATGTCCCTTTCCCCCAGACTCTTGATTTGTTAGGACTAAACTTTTAAGTATGCCTTTGTTCCCCATCAGACTGTTCTAAGGAAGAGGAAAGCAGGGACACATGGCAGAAGAAAATAAAATTTCGGTATATGGCTCCTAATCCCCTGGAAAGACTAGGAAGCTTAACATTTTTGACTGAATTCAGGGGTATATATGTTTTACTATTAATTGAGCATTTACTATGAGCCAGGCATCATATTAAAACGTTACCTACATTATCTCACTTAGTCCTTTATAATCCTTACAATTCCTTGAGATAGATGCTATGTTATCTCATTTTATAAATAAGGAAACTGAGCCTTAAAGAGCTTAAGCAAATTAAGGAGCAGGTCTAGGATTCACCATCTTCCCAGTTCCAGTTTAATGTAAGGGGTTAGGAAAGACTGATAGAAGTCAGAGCCCTTATAGGGGACATGACATTATTTTCTCGTTTTTGCACTGAATCAATTCTAACCCCAATACCCACATCCTCCTCCTCCATCCAGACTTCTCATCTCAGGAAGTGTGTAGGGGGTAGTGGGGTCAGAAGGCAGAGTAACTGGACATCTTTGTGTAAACCATAACCAACATGTGCCGGACAGCATCTTCACTCCTTACAAAGAGCAGATCACAAGGATGCCCAACACCCCCTTTTAGAAGCTGTTCTTATCCAGTTGTGAGAAGCTTCCAGGTGGGGTAGAAAGAAGATTTACCTTCAGACCTCTTCCCCCTGGATAGGAAACTGGGGGGAAATGTCTGTTGTTTTATTGAAGTTTTTTGTTTTGTTTTTGTACATGTCAGAATAAAAATGACAACGTTTTTTCAGCTTCCTGTCTGTCAAATGAAGAAAACATTTAGTGTGTAAGATAAGAAAGCAACCCATTTCTGCTCCTCAGCAGTGGATGGGTACCTTTCTCTGTTCTAACAACCCTACTCCACGCTGTGCAGTTTTCTCCAGCCCTACTGTTATTTGCATTCCCTTAAAACAAGAGGTGCCACGCAGGAGCACAATCAGAGTGCACAATCCTTCTCGTTTAAGAGACTTCCTAGGAATGGGTACAATCCACTGAAAATAACAAAAGAGAAACAAAACAAATCCATGTTTTTGGAGAAATCAGAAAAAGCCCCACAGATGTACTCTTTCAGAAGTAGGTTACTGACACCCCCAGATGGTTTTAGAACTCATTCTTTTGCCAAAGGGCATATGTGCTGCCAGAGATTGAAAATGAAAAGAAATACACACACACACACCCTCCCCTGGGGGAGTGGCTGCACCATAATCCCTTCTCTCCAGCTCTCCTTTTGGGATTTTGGCACTATGCACATGCACCCAGTGTGTTTCTTTTTTTTCTTTCTTTCTTTTTTTTTTTTTTTAAGTACTTGCTAAATGTGTGTGAGCTCCCCAGAGAGATGGAAAGTGAAAAAACACGCCCTGGAGGGAATGGCCATACTACAATCTCCATTCTCTGGGGAATTTGGGTACTGCAGACACACATGCACGCATGCCTGGTGTGATTTTCAAGTCACTGGGTCCCAGATGGGAAAGATGCAGTTGACTATCTGGGATCCAGCACCTTAACCTCTACCCCACCTGATGGTCCTGAGGTGTGTTTCTTTCCCTTTTTTTTTTTTTTGTAATGGGGTGCTAGTGAGCTCACTGGAAAGCCAGCGAGACAGAAAGCAAGAAATCACTCCAGCAAGAAATCACTCCCGGATCTTGGGCATGCGCACACACGTTTTTTGTTTTTTTTTTTGAGGTTTTTGTTATAGGGCACATGTGCTCCCCAGGCAGCGAGAGAGACAGAAAGCGAGAAATCACCGCACCAGGGAGATGGCCACACCGCAATCCCTTCTCCTCTCGGGATCTTGGGCATGGACGCACCCTCACCCGGCGTGAGTTTTAAACCACCGAATCTGGGACACGAACCGCAGTAGACTACATGGGAGTCCAGCAACATAGCCATTACGCTAACTGCTGGTCCCTTCGACCAGCCTAAGTTTTAAGCTGCCCTGGTCCAGGAATCAAACCAGTGGAAGTCCAGCGACGTAACCATTACGCCATCTGCTGGGCCTTCTTTTCCTTTTCTTCGTTTTTGAGTTATTGTGGTGTAGGGCACGTGTGCTCAACAGAAAGACAAAGGCGGAGAGAGAGAGAGAAACTGATAAATCGCTCCCTCAGAAGGGATGGCCACACCTCAATCCCCTCTCCATTCTCCTCTCAGGATTTTGGGAACCCACACAATGACTGGTGTGAGTTGGACGCCGCCAGGTTTTGGACTCACTGTAGTGGGCCCCGTGGGAGTCCTGTGCCTAAACCACTACGCCACCTGCTGGCCCCCAGGCATGCTTCTTAGTCTGCCAGTTCGGACTCCAACTGCCTAGTGTTATGTGGAATTCAGCTTTTTTTGTCTTAAGAATTATTTATTTAATTTTACTATTATTTTTTTAATTTGCTATAGTGAACGTATGATCATCAGAAAGAGACAGAGAGAGAATGTGAGAAAACAAGTCTCCAGATCCAGGACTCCAACCTTGGTCAGCCACGTGGGAGTCCCGCGCCTTAACCACCACACCACCTGCTGCCCCTGGATCCAGCCATCTTAACCACCAGGCCATGGGAATGGCCTTTGAAATTCACAAAAATCTCTTTCTGAACACTTCCCTTAGGTGTCCCATCCAAGCCTATTGTTAAAATAATACTGACTCTTACTTCCGTGGGAGTCCAGCCTCTAGATTTGGAGGTAAATGGACAGTCCCTGCGGAGCGTGGCTGCTCAGCTAGCCCCTGCCACCAACAGCACCCACGGTTTTCCACATCAGCTCTACCTCTCCCCGCCCTCCCAGTATTGGAGGACGCTTGGACCGGCTGGGGCGGGGCCC